AGGCTTCTGAAATTGCAAAGTACCATGAATGGTCTTGGTCGTCATGATAAACTCAAGGAACCGTTCACCCTGCTCGCTCCTTTCTAATCCGTGGGCGCCATTTGACATTCTATTAGACATTTTCCTGAGTCCAATCATCAATTATGACATCAAATAATTTTCATCTTCTCTTTAGAACTCCACCAAGTTCGTAGAGAACGCTTCGACTCCGTTTTTGTCTTAGCTTCTCGGTGAATACACGACGAAGATTGTTAAAGCTGTTATTGATCTACATCTCTTTAACTGTAAACGTCCGATTCATGTAGCTAATTGTGCGAATGGATCGATGTCCATGGACAAACTCGTGCTGAGTAGAACCCTGATGCCTGAGACTTCTCTATTGTCGCTTGTTCCGAGGAACAATTCTTCTGTACGCTATAGACGACGTTGAATGGGTGGTGTCTTCCCGTCTCAGCCATTCCAATGACGTCGTGCCTAATCTTTCTTGCCTGTATGTTTAAATCTTCTATCGAAAATTCGTAAGCGTGCATTCTAGATATAGATCGTCACGCTAGTCCTTTGCGATTTGGACAACCTTGAGTGGTCCTGAAATCTTTGCAGACTCTACCTACTCGTGCTACCAGACGCCGTCGTGTTAGCAGCTCTTTCAGGAATGAAGCTCACTTATTTTACTGCGTTTAGCACTTAATATCCACGTACAGCTTGCTGAGCTGTGGACGTGACGGTTGCATACATTCACGGATAGCTTGCCAGTTTCTCCCAGAGTAGATGAAGAGCTTATTTGTTGTAGGCTATTCCTAACCACCTCCCTTATACTTCCCTTCAACTTGATTGGAGGCTTTCGGCCGAATTGACTTGTAGACTACAATACGCGTAAATGAGAATCCATCCACACATGCAGGCGTTAATACGTCATACATAAACACAGAAGGTATGAGCCATAATGGCACATCAAAAACAGAGAGTCTGTTACCTGAGTCGATATGCGCTTCAGGAAAGCATAATGTCGCTTTTGATCCACAATTAACCTCTCACCCCTCACCAGGGTACGCGCCACGTTGCCTCACAACTAACAAGCATGAGGTTCCTCTATGAGGGTGATGCGTGGCATATACACTATGATGTCAAATATTTCTGTTCTTGTTTACTTTGTTTTACTTTATACGACCCGTTTTCACATCTTTTGTGCGGATACCAGCACTTCTCACATTCGATTCGTTTCCTCGAATCCATAATCCACGAAGCTCTTCCAGATTTACGTGTGCCTTTGGCTGTTGCTTGAAGATTTTTATTTCATCTTGAATGTCGTTGAATAGTGGTCGAGTCGATTTTCCCTTCAATCCCGATATAATCGGGCTGAAGTGTTGCTAATCGGATTGCAGAGAGTGATTTTTCACGGAAAAGTCCGATACAGATTTCACAACCACGGAAGGACACGGGGCTTGGTAAGCTTGGAGCTCGATCGAACGAAAATTATGGTCGTGATGATCGGCATCACTAGCACTGTAATATCGGTCCTCTGATGTAGAATATTAGCTGAGTCATAAACGTAATATATGTGTACAGGAACTGCCAAATATAAACGACTTGGTCCCATAAGTTATCAGGCGTGTATGAAACCCGTATCTAATCACCAACACAATAACTAGAGTTCTTCGGAAAGACCCTAAATGAAATGTGACAGTTCCGGTATCGCTGGATGAAGTTGAACTCATTGCACAGCTGTATTACACGACAGTGACAAATGAATATTTTACTACTTTACTCTTAAATAGCTCGATGACCAAAGGAATTACATATGAAATAGGTGGTACCATAGACCAAAGAAAAGCAACATCTAACTCTGTATGTTTTAGCAACAATACAGCCACTTATATATCATCTACAATTAGTGGCCTCAAGCAACAGTCTTAACGAAAATCATTTGAATCCGGCTCATTTAATAATGTGATGTAGTAGGTATTTTACTAGTGTTTTACAAAATATATCGATCACGACTTCAACTACTCTGCATCATAGTCACAATCGGGCTCGCTAAACTATGAACTCTATCAAACGCAGTACTACTGCGTTATCCGAACAGTTCTCAAATGTTGTACATGGTGCATTACGGGTGGTGTTTCATTTCTCGTTATGCATCACCAAGTCCTCTGTAAGAAATCTTGGTGATGGCATATATTTTTTACAAACACATATTGTTAACTTAACACTTAATAGGAAAGATGTAAGGCGTAGTGGAAAAAATAATGTAGTACAATTTTACGCTTCCGTCGCAACACATAGCTCAAAAAACGACGAAAGGGTCGCAGCGTCAGTTACCGTTTGCTTACCTCGTTTGAAAAAAAAAACACAAATAAAGTGCATCGCAAGTGAAAACGCAAATGTGTACTATTTATTGTCTGATGGAAAATAAAAAGGAAAGGTTGACCGTTTTGAAATTACTCTACTCTCTCTAATTTCTTCTCATTTATATGTGGTAGTTCATCTCAAGCATTGAGCTGTACATAATTTTTAAATAGAAAACTTTTATGGAGCATGGATCGTTATTCTTAACTGTATTCGGAGCAATAGAGCTGGATTACGTCATCTACTTAAACAACAATGATTTCTAACGGATAAAACATGACAAGGCAAGTGTAGCGCAGTGGTCGGAGGCGCTCTACAATATACATGGGATCGATCCCTGCGTACCAGGCTCACCAAGTCTTCAATACCTGCGGAGTAGGCAAATTGGTACCAGACTAGTCTGGGAGGATAGCAGTACTGGCTCGATACATCGTTGAGCCGCCTCGAGTTGTCGTAAAGGCCAGATACGCATTCAGTAACCTCCAACGATGCTTAATGAAGTCGAATGAATGGCGCATCTCTCAGGGATTGATCAGCGCTGAGTGCATATGGTGGTTTTGCATTTAGCAAGACGGGAGTTAATAATATCGTTGGAAAAATCGCCGAAAAAAATTATAAAAAAAGAGAAGTCGATGAAACGTCAGCCATCGACCAACAACGACAACAACAACAACAACTTGCATCAACCTCGCATCGACTGAACAAGACCAGTTCATAAGATATAAAAATAAACATATCGTTAAAGCTGAGCGAATATTGCTAACGTGTATATAAGTGTTAAAAACGACAATACGTCCAGTCTCACGAATCAACTTGCAGTTTTCAGAATTTAAAATGGATAAACACTTTCGGCTCCAACTTCATCCTACTCATCGGAGTGGTGTAAAATCGGTTTCTATTAAACACAAATACCATTCTTCACTTATTTTCGATGAAAACAACAATCAGCGTTCTTTTTTCTCGATGACCTTATGCGATGTTGCCATCAAATCGGTAAGAATTCGAGTCGATTCTCCATCTCGGTCATTTTTGCGATGATTGGTTGGTCATCGTAGTCGTGGTAAGTCTACTTTAGTAGAGTACTGCACCACGCGAGTTTTAGTTTGATCATTGTGACTATTTCATTCCGACCTGGCATAACTTTATCAACAAAACAATACTGGCTACTCATTTTAAGATTAAACCAGATTGGGTACGTTGAAAACTTGAAGACAGTAATACACAAGTAATCTATTAAGGAATGCTAGAATTTGTGCGTATTTCAGTGTGCGCATAGTGTCAGTGCAGAAGAGGCCATTTCCGTCCACTCTTCTGTCTGACGATGTTGAGCGCAGTTGCAGGCACTGTCTAGAAGTTTCTTCACGACCTAACTAGTGCATATACACTAGAAACACTAAGTTTACTTACTCGCCCAGTTTTTTTTTTTACTTCGAAGTCTATCTGTTTTCTATTCCTCTATGCCTTATTTCCTATTGGAAATCGTACTGATCACTTGACGGCGCGTGCTTCAACCTGTGGACAAGTTTGTTTCTATTGATTTACGCGGGATTTGAATGCATTGTTTTGTCATGTGGTCATCCACGAAGTGCTACATCGATTCACCGTCCCATACTTATGTTATATGATAGGTCCAGCCGAACATCGAATGTACAAGTAACATTGCTGACTTCAACTGACGATCAGACCTGCTGAGTTTCTGGTAATTCGTTACTGATACGGGCATACGGGGTCGGGTCTCATATATTTTTCTAAGTAGTATATTGATCCTACAGGATTCCATTTAAGTTGGTTTGTTATCTTCTCGAGTAGGGTTTCGTATTCTCTTCTATTTATGCACTACTACAAATGACGTCACGATTACTTCCCTGTCCTTACGCATCGCTTGTATGAGAATATTTCATGTCTTTGCTATCATTCGTTCGTTATATTACCGTCGTATGTCTTCTGATCGCTAGTGCTTGTGCTGATTCTCCTCAGATTCCTCACTGTATTCGTTTCCAGTGAGCCATATTGTTCGAACAAATGATCGTTATTGATTCTGAATTTGGCGTTGATCAATACGTCGCTGTTTTCTTGATATGCACAGACGAGGTTACTCTTATAAAGGATAAAAGGGGTAAAGCTCTCGGCGTTGACCAATCCCTGAGGGATGCGCCATGCATTCGACTTCTTTAAGCATCGTTGGAGGTGATTGAATGCATATCTGGTCTTCACAATGACTAGCAGTGGCCTACCGATGTATCGAGTCAGTGCTGCTATCCTCCCCAACGAGTCTGGTACCAATTTGCCGATCCCGGAGGGATGGAAGCCTTGGTGAACCTGAGGCGAGTGGATCGATCCCATGTATATTGTAGAGCGCCTCCGACCACTGCGCTACATGCGCTCCTAGATTATTCTTATGTTAATTATTAATTGGCGAAGTCCGTAGACCCTTTAGGTACTGTTAATAAATAGTATAATGTCAGCCTTTTATGTGCTTTTAAAGGAAAAAGCAACGTATTGAATGTTACTAGTCACGTCGCCAGTATTTGATTTGTTCAGATTTGCTGCTGTTCGATTCGGAGTTGTCGGACTTCCGCTGGGAGATGTTTCGGATTCTATGTATTTTTCTAATTATTCCATGCACTGACTTAGCCATTCCACACAGCAACGAAATGTCTCATCTCGAAATGGCTGCTCAGAGGGTAAGTTGTTTTTGGTCAATTTTTGTTAATTATACTCTTTCACTGTTTTGCTCGTAAGTTTGAACTGCTTTATGTCCTAGATTCCCGTTCTAGTGGATTTATTTTCTTGCTTCAGAGAGCTGAAAATATCCATCGCATCGACTCCATCATTCTACTCACCTACATTTCTGTGTTGGTGGTAATAGTTCTTACATCGTGGCTGTTCAAACACTATAGGTTTATGTTTGTGCATGAGACAGGCCTTACGCTGTTCTACGGTAGGTGTTGAATAATCTTTCTATTATGATGTACACAACCTTAAAAATTCTAGGATTACTAATCGGTTTCGTAATTCGATACTTCGACATCGGTTTATTACAGTCGCAGACATTTGATGTTGTCCTTAAAGATCGAAGAGTTGCCGAGGAACCTCCAGATTATCTCAGGTTGAAACGTTTTTTACTCGCTTTTGTTGTGCAATGTTCTTAAGCACTAGTTAAATGCTCAGTAGTCATTTACCACTATGAGGAACACCTCCTTTCAAATTTTGAGAACAAAGAAGAGTCGACGACATATCAAGTAATGTCATTGTGATAGACCAATTTCCTTCCAAAACACTACCTAATTATATTACTGTTGGCGAAACTTTCTACCAGCGAAATTTCGTTTCATTGGCATAAGAGCTGAATATAAATCAGTGCCACTTTAGTATTTTAACTTGCAGGTTGGAGGTCGGACCAGTCTCTGGGCCACATGTCTCTTTTTATTATGAATTGATGGAAGGTTTCTATGCTGATAAAAAGAAACATAATGAACAGAAAATCGAGCAGAAAGTGGGTAATTTACATTATATTCTTTCGGTTGAAAGTGGATTCATAGCTGCTCGATAGAGTACGGAGAAGAAGGCAACAGATTACAGTGAAAGCGCTTAAACATCTTTTAGGTATCGTAATAGAAGGAGGAAGACCAGTGGTAATTGTCGTAAATTTTATTAGATAGGTGGTTGTACGTATTGGACAAGCGCTAGAGATGGAAAATGATACTTACTTGATACTTGAACGGCCCGTCATCACTAGTTGTGTGGGTCCCAGCACAATCAGCATTTTTCGAAGATTTGCTGGTTAAGCCATTGTGGTTCCCTGGAATCCCGAGGACAGCCTCGCCAAAGTCTGCCTCAGATGGAAAATGAACAACTAAAAAACTATAATTTCGTTGACATTGTATACCGTAATGGTTGTTAAGGCAAATTTACGGATAATCCTCCTGACGGTTTACCGCCTCATCATGGCTGGGAGGTGTTCCTGGGTGTCGGGCTGCGATGTACAGCGGAGGAGTTCATCGCTCTGGTGGGGTCTCCCATGCTGAGAAGGAGTTTGGCGTTTCCATCAGGAAGCCCAACTAAGAATAAACCATTACCAGGATCTGTCACCGACCTGGTATCAAGCTAATCGCATAGCAGCAAATCTCCCTCTAATCCATAAGGGCTGCGACTACCTGTGGTCATGACGACCAGACTTTGGCCAGGCTGGCCTTGGGATTCCAGTGAACCACAATGGTTTAACCAGCAAATCTCCGAAAAAGATCCGTTTGTTGTAGTGAAACATTGTTTAAGCAACAATTGTTCTGTTATTTGAAGTTGGGTGGCTGCCAACCATGCGCAGTTAATAACGCTGAATTTCTGCCCTAGGAAAGTTCTGTGGTGAAACAAACGCCCATATTTTTCAAACTTTTTTTTTCTGCGTCAAGTACAGACTTATTGGACGTGAAAGTTGTTGGACTCAATGGAGCTAATTTCAGTTGTTGCGTGCCGAATTAAAAAGTACGGATCTTTTAATGTAAACATGTTTTATAAATGCACTGTAGGAGATGGGGTTATCACAAATGTGACGAATCTCGTGTGGTTCGCTGTTAAATCATCAACTATCTAACACATTTTCTCCTATTTTTCATGTGAAATTCGACAAATGTTTGGCACAGCAGAGTTTTTGTTGACAATTGTCGATAAATAAAAGGAGCATAGGAACACCGTCGCATTTAACGTATGAATGAATCTGTTTGCATGCGTACAGAACGTTCACGTCAGTCTGACACACTAAAAAGAACAGTTCCATTTTCTGAATCCATGTCTATGTGAAGGTGAGTCAAATGGCTGGTTTTGGTTCTCGTTTAACCTCCTGTCCACCATCTCGGTTAGACTGAGTGCCACATATCTCCGCGAGTTGCCTGTTGGAGATCGCTTAGTAAGGCGTACAATAAACATAGAATTTTAAGGGGTACGATAAAATTTGCAGAATTCTCGGTCGAATTTGGGTGCTGAGAACACTGAAAATCCTCGACGTGGAAAAAACGAGAATGTATCATAGGTAGAATAAGTTGGCTTGTTTGAAGAAGTGCAAGATTGTACTGTGTTTATTTCAATTGTCGAAATTCACTATTAGTTGGGTTTTTAAAATTGAAAGATGAGTACACATATGTTGAGTTCATTGCGCATTGTTGCGAATGCGTTAAGAAAATAAATACTACAATTTGTGATCTTTAGAACCGCATTGTATTTTCTATAGTTAGTCTTTGTTTGGTTTTAAAATTATCTTCTAGCTGTTGATGGTTATATAGTTTTTATCTTAAGAGAAAGTAGAAAGCTGTTTCACTCATTAGTGCAGTTCCTAAACCAGCCGTTTATATGCTCCTCCTAATGGCTTATCGCATTTTCATGGGTGCTTCTTAGGTGTCCAATGCAATGTATAACATGGTGCCGATTCTACAAGCTGGTCGTCAATGCTGAATACTTCGTCATCAAGATTCAGAAATGCTGTTAGAAGCAGTGAAGCACCAAAATGAGTTGTCTTGCGGGATACCTAGAGTCTTCGTGACAAATTCCGCTCCAGTCACACTTGAACGATGACCTCCGGTGACCGTCTGGAAAAGCCATAAAAGCATTTCTCAGGAATCCAAACAAGTGTTAGCAAGGTAGCTGTGTGACGCCAAAGTGTATAATATGCAGTGGCCTGCACCATTCTTCTTATTCACGGGTCATTAAAGTATCAAATGGTATTCTTTTACTAGTAGCATGTAGATCTCAACCGTTGTGTAAAGACGTGTAAATATGTTTCCGAAATAGATTGCATATCTTCAGAGTGCGTTTTCTCCCGAAATATTCTTTAATATAATGTTGCCACCAATCATCTTTAACGCTGGCTACAGTTTAAAAAAGCGTCATTTCTTCCGGAATATCGGCAGTATCCTAGCTTTCGTATTTGTTGGTACGACGATTTCCTGTTTTGCCACAGGGTAGGTTTTTTAATGAATCTTGTGATAGAGTTTTATGTGGGAATGCAAAATCCGCCTGAAACGGATTGAGGTGTATGATGTATGCTTTTACAAAGATGTTTGGAATGGGCTTTTCTTTTCAAGAGCTTATTTTTTTCGGCGCTGTAATTTCTGCCACTGATCCTGGTGAGTCATTGTGGTCGTCGTGGTATCATGAATAAGACTTGTTCTAGCCATATTTGTAAACATTTTAGTTACTGTAATCTCTTTGTTCGCTGACATGGATGTTGAAGCCGATCTGTTTGCTTTGGTTTTCGGAGAGAGTGCGTTAAACGATGCTGTTGCCATAGTACTATCGAAGTAAGGTTATTTTAGATACAGATGTTTTCTGTAATAAAAATACCTCGTAACCATGCTTTTTCATGCAAGTGTAAATAATAGGTTATTCGAGTGGTAGGGTAATTAATAGCATCGGCGCAATTTTGACTATTATTGGTCATGTATGTATACGAATTTAGGCTAAGTTTGTTATGGTGCAGTGTTTATTGATGGTCCAAATGACTGCTTTCACGCAGTTATTGTTTTGTTTTTTCAGCACCATAGATAATTTTTCGTCTGGAAGTGAAGGTGGATCCAACGAACTGGTTTTCGCACTAGGGAAATTCGGCTATGTGTTTTTTGGTGGTTTCGATTTATGTTGTTTTCGGTATCTAGAAAAGGAGTAAATTCGAAATTTTAGGTTCCCTCCTTTTGGGGTCACTACTTGGAAGTGGTAATGCACTTATTACAAAAATGACGGCTATTGCAGAGCATCCTTTACTGGAGAGCAGTCTTTTCGTGCTTGTATCTTATATTTCGTTCCTTCTTGGGGAAGTTGTAGGACTAACAGGTATGCTTTGCGTCATTTACATTAGAGATTAATACTTATTTTCTTTCACGAAACTCTTATTTGCATAGTATAACCCTATGTTGTTTCGTTCTGACGAATTATCTTCGATGATCTGGCTCGAATTTGATGACACATATTTTGGTTTTCAGTCGCAGCCATTTTGGGCTCTTCGATTTTTGGATTTGAAATTATAGCATGTTCATCGGTAATTTATGTTACTTTCCTTTCCAGACTCTAAAGAAGATGAGGTCACGGAAACGTTATCTATTCAAAACTGAAATACATGTTCACAACTTTGAGTCGGGTAATCGAGGACATTTCATGCGGGCAGAATACGTGGTTTATTTATGCTGACGTGAAGTGAAAATCGGTTTTTCGAAATAGTCTAATTTTATTTAGAGTATTGGGAACTTATGATTTAACATTAGCGGAATTTTTTTTAAGGAGACCACATAAGAACTAGAGATGTTATACATACACATATATATTATATATATACATATATATATGTATATACATACGTACATGTGAAATGTTTGTACACCCATATGTTATATACATGTGTATATAAGTATATATGTATATGCATAATTTGTTAAGAGGCGGCTTGGCAAATGCGCCAATTTATAGTATAGTTTATCTAATTTTCCTAATGTCTTCTGTTGACGTTTTAACTTTGGTGTTTTTGGAACTGTTACAGTGTTTTTCTTGAAGTGTTTACGTAGAGAAAGACTCCCTTCTCGCCACATTATAGTCGACGTTATCGTTTGATGGTTATACCATGCCCATTTTATCCTTACTGCTTTCATATTGATACTTTTGTATTTACATGATGATATTTTTGATGCTGAGGTACTTTAATATTATTTTCAGGTATCGTATCTGTATTGTTCTGCGGTATATTTCAAGCACATTATACATTCAACAATCTTTCTATGGAGTCTCAAGTCGCGACTAAACAGTTCTTCCAGGTTTGTTTTCGCTTTATATCCTTTTGTTACAAGTTTTATTATGCGTTTAACTCATTTATCTTCTAGATGATTTCATTCGTTCTCGAAAGTTTTATATTTTGCTACATTGGTGTCAGTGTATTCGTGGCCAACAACCAAAAATGGAATTTGGGATTTTTACTTTTTTCGTTGGTATGTTGCTTGGAGGGTATATTCGTTTATTGTTTTACCTTTAAGCACTTGTTTTTTTTCTTTGCTTTCATTTTCTCGCCTTAAAGTATTACTTAATTAGAGCAAAATAGTTAAATATATAGTATAAGTAACTATAAAATTGAGCAAACTCATAAGTTACCGTGAAGCAATAATTTTTCGCCGAACAAAGACAGGGTTGGGGTTATTCCTCTGATTATATATGTGATTATTGTCTGCGTCCATGTGAATGTCAGATCCTAAGCGCAGAAGGTCCAGTGGATTGTGTTTCACTGTTGCCATGAGCGTGGTAGTGAAAATTTCGTCTATTGGTCTATATTAGAATTTGAGTAATCAACTTCCATTTGTTGTTGGATGTGATTTTCTTCGTATTTTTGTTGAGCAAACGCGAGGTGTTACTATTCTTTGTTCACGATTAAGCTGACGTTTCGGCGGATTTCGCCTTCTTCAGAGCCGCTTTCTATGAGGTTTCCACTAAGTATGTCACGTAGAGACCAACCGCACAGAAATCACGTGGAAGTATAATGTCATTATTATACATTATATTATATTATTATATACATTATTATACATAATATACATTATTATACATTATATTGATATTATACTTCCATGTGATTTCTGTGCGGTTGGTCTCTACGTGACATACTTAGTGGAAACCTCATAGAAAGCGGCTCTGAAGAAGGCGAAATTCGCCGAAACGTCAGCCTAATCGTGAACAAAGAATAGTAACACCTCGCGTTTGCTCAACAAAAATACGAAGAAAATCACTTGATCAATGCCGAGGTTAATAGAAAGTCGGTCGTGGCAGTTGTTGTTGGATGTGTTGTGATGTACAGATTCCATATTTTCACCATGGTCTCCGATGCTGAGATATTCAAAAGTTTCATTTAGAAATCCAGAAAATGTTAAGGTTATACCACACGAGAGTGCGGAGGCCTAATTGTGGCTATGGTTTCCTCGAAAACATAGAGAACAAAAGCGCTAGTACTAAAAGTATAATACAACCACAATGATACTGAGATATTTGCAAAACTCCGGGCCATAGGTGTCTGCGGTGGGGAACGAAATCGCTATTATTCTTTCTGGGGGCCAACGTGTTCAACACCACACCATGCGGCTCCTTCGTTTCGCCTGTTTGCTGATAGCCCTATAGCACTATCGATAGAGCCAGCTGAGAGACAGGCGAAACGAAGGATCCCCACCACAGACACCTGTGGTCCGGAGTTTTGCAAATATCTCAGAATCATTGTGGTTGTATCACACATAGCACCCTACGTGAAAAGCTGTAATAGACTGTAAATAAAAAAGTTAGCAGAAGTATAATAGTCTACAGCAAGTGGACTCAGCTGGGTGGAACTGATTGTGCTTGCGATTAACAGAATTATAGGTGATACCATGTGATACCTGTACATTTCGAATCCGCAAAAAATGTTAGAATGTTGATTTCATCACGCATGTTAAGCAGCCAAAAATGGGTGTGCAGCGTTATGGTAGAATGCAGGGAAATTCAAAGCATGTAACAATTCACGCTTCATTGTTTATCTTCTCTCAACATTATTTGCTTTTTGTGTTTTAAAGAATATATGCACTTTTTCATAACATGGTCTTTGGCACTATTTGCTGAAACTTTTAGCGTCCTATAAATTCAGAATATAGAACTAACTCTAATGCCAATAGAAACTTTTACCTCTAGAAATGAAAATACTTAAGTCGGAGAAAGATTCATTGAGTGAGAAGGATTTGCATTCTTTATTTTTTATGCAATACATTAGTAGTTCCTCATGTTTGCGGCCTCTAACACCTGTTTCAAATTTCTTCATTTTGATGGTTTCCTTAATGGCAAACTTTTGGTTTAACCAAATTTCCCAACAATAATTGGAGCAAATTATTGAATTGGTCGGAAATTATTGGCAGGTTTAAAACTGTATTTTTAAAGTGGGTTGGTTCAACTCACAAGAAACTTTATTAATCGAAATAAAAACTCTTAGAACCTACACAGTTTTGGCGACGAGGAACTTGAATGCATTTATACTGGTTGCATAAAGTTGGACTTCTGGAGGTGTCGAAGAGGGCAGTTTAGGCATTGGCTTGTTTTCTAAAGCATTCCTCGCATTGGATGTTGACAATATGTTTGAAGAAATGGTACTCTAGGTAGGCAAGATGTCTGGCTAGTATATTGGATGAGACAGCTTCGTCTCTCAGCTCGTTGTTTTTGCAGCGTTGGTAATGCGGCGTGTGACCGCTCGTAATCGTGTAGAATGGTTGGTGCTGTTCTCCTGGGTAATGCGGAGGACACCTGTCGAAGTTTCTGGTGCACTTCATTGGTTTTCTGAACATACTTCTACGATGTAATCGTCACCCGGATTTAAGAAAATATGGTGGATTAAATCAACATCAAACGACGAAACAGCGTGACATTCTTTTGGTGCAATTTCTGTTTTAGGAAGTGCTGCGGAGCTTCTTCACGGTCTAGCCACCTAATCGTTGCCGGTTTTCGTAGCGAAACCGCTTCTCATTGTGCATCAAAATACCTTCGTGAAACAGATGGTTTTAGTTGCGCAGTAGGTGCCTTGACTATACTCCAGAACGGCGATTTCTTTGATTGTATTCCAGTTCATGCGACATCCATTTCCGAGCTTCTTCAACTTTCCAGTTTTCTTTGTATGCTATGGAACAGTTGACAAGCTACACTGACTTCTTGTGCAATTTCTCGAACAGTTGTCTATCTAATTGCCTTCACCAAACCTTTCAGTTCATCTACATAAATAGTAGAAGGACGTCTGTAATCTCTCAAACCTTCATGGTCGAATTCGCCGCTACGAAATTTTCCGAACCTACATCGTCTTTTGCGTTCCTTAACACATCCTTGGCCCGTACCGTATTAGTGTTTCGAGCCATTAGCGCTGCGTGCGACCCAGATATGCGTTCTCAAAATAGATTTGTGGAGCGTTCTTTTTTGACTTCTGGTATTCTAGCCTTGGACATTTATCAAAAACATACCTATGTTGTAATTGGGGTGAAGATGTATGAAGTGAGTTTCGAAACGACGTATAATAATGCAGCATTTGAAAAAAAAGTTTTGTTGAAACATATACAAGGGAGATGAAATTAAAGGTAAGACATTAGTTTTCGAACAGCGCAGTAGGTTAAGAATTATGGCTTAGAAGAGTTTTGATTTATCTTTTATCTGTATCACTTGTATCACCTGCAGTCCCGTTGATCAAGTGATCCGAGCGGGCGCCAGTAAATCTTCCATTTTTTCCCTTCGCGTGCAAGAGTAGCCCAATGGGTTCTCTTATCTCTAGAGATTCGTTGAGCATCATATCTTTCTTCTAAGCTCTTCGTGCAGAACTCTGACCATCGGGTCGGTGGTCTTCCTGCAGTGCGTTTAACATGCCGAGGAACCCAGTCACTAACGACTCTTGTCCATCGATTGTCATTCATACGCATTACGTGTCCGGCCCACATTATCATGGACTGTTTGGCGTACAGAGCAGCATCCTTGATTTTTGATCGTTGGGGCAGGTCGGAGCTTTGGATCTCCTTCCCTTGTGCGAAACGGGATGCTCCTATCATCGTCCTTTCGACTGCGCGTTCAATAACGCTGAGTGATCTTTCATCCTGCTTACGCAACGACCAGGTTTCTAACGCATACGTAAGGGTGGGAAGTAGCGTTGAGTTGAAAAGGTGGGCACGGAGTCGGGTGTTTTTTGTCCTCTTCATTACTACCTGGTTTCTCTTTTATCTACATATATATAATTATATATGTAGGCATGTATATATATTTATATATCACTTTTGTCGGTGGTATTCCCGTTGATCGTTGACTGAGTCTTCCGAATGCCATCGAAGTCGTCAGTTGTGGTTGTCGTGTGCAGGTATAAACCTTCAGGTCCTGTTCGATCTAGGGGCTGCTGAGCTTCCATGACCGCCTTTGTTTCACATGACTGTGAAGAACGCCTTTTTAGCGGCAAATAAGTGAGAGTACGTGACCTTCTATGCTTTCATGTTATTTTAAGGAGTTAAATTATTGCGTGAGTGTAGTCCAGTGCATCATGCCAAATTCTTCTCGGAACCCGAACTTTTGCGTCACTTCTTTTGCCTAATGTTCTGTTATTACTGTTGAAGATGGTTTGAAAAAAGAGCTTGTAGGATACAGGCGGAATGTGCGATAGTCGGAGATGTCGTTTGCAGTGATGATGTGTTAAAATGTATACATTAGGTATACACACGAGCAGCTTGCTGAAATGGTGTAGGAGAGAGGGTTGCGATAGATTTTACTCCTTTCCAGTTATAGTGGAGCAGCTAACTAGTTAGAAGCACGTGTGGGATACAATCTGAATACGCGTAATAAAAATCGCCTAACCAAACCTTAGTTTGTTTATTCAGAATCTACCTGATTGCCAGTACAAGGTTGCCATTGGGCCGCGTTTGAGTTCCTCTATCCAGCACATAGCAACGCGTGCCGTAGGCTCGCACTTAACCGGGTACTGCGAGTTACCTTAATAAGGGTCATAGCAATAAATGTTTTAAAATTTCCTGACACAGACAAGTGGACGACATATTTGATGATATGTTGTCTTTTTATCTGCTTTGCCGATCAAGCTGCAAGATTTCGCCGACAGCAAAAAAACTGATATGGTTGGGAAAACTAGGTTTTTATCTCTAATGATTTTTTGTACGAAAAATCTAAACACGGTGAAGTAAACGGGCCTCATTCTCCTGATCCCGAAAAAGCCCCCGATTCGGCAACGTTTAGTGGGACGAGAACGGAGAGGCTGCTAAAATCTCAGGGCCATTCTTTGGCAAAGACCTAAGATGACGATCCGTACCTACAATGCACGTACACTTACATCCGAGTCCTCGATAGAAGATTTGCTCTTGAAAGCAAGAAGGATAAGGTGCGACATCATCGCCCTGGCCGAGACGAGACGACGCGACCCATTCAACTCTGTCTGTGACACCGGAGAACAACGGTTCTTCGGAACTTGCGACAGTAGAGGAATCGGCGTTCCGGTTAGCACGAAGTTTGGTCGCTAACATGGATTCATTTGTACAGCTAACAACCCGAATCGGACGTTTGCGATTTAAGAGGTGTGGATCAATACCGGCTTTGGCGATCTTTGTCGTTTACGCACCGATATCAACCTATGACAAAGAAGAAGTCGAAGCGTTCTATATGGACTTCCAGAAGTTCTAACGAGAAAACTATAAATTCTTAAAGGTAATCATTAGAGATATTGGACCTAGAAGAACAACTGAATAACGTCACATTGAGACCAACGGATTAGAATGGAACGAGCAGGGTGAGCAGCTGTTTGATTTCATCGTGATGAACAGACAATTCATGGTAACTTGCAACTGCAGAAGCTCCGCCCTTAACGCTGAACCGTGGCAGTCTCCCAGTGGAGAATACCATGATGAAATAGACCACATCACAATAAACCGAAGGTTTTGCCATACCGATGCCGCTGTTGTCCCGAAATCCCATGAGGGATTAGACCACGCCCCCTTTGTGCAAGATTTCATTTTTCGCGGAAAAGAAAAAAACCGTTAAATTCAATAAATGAAGTCCGAAAACCGAAAAAATCGATAACATCAACGGGGAATGCGATCAGCTCATTCACCATCTTCACGTTAGCGCTAAGAAAGCTGAGAGTTCGAGGGTCACCAGGAGACTTCTGTCTCTAGAAACCCTGGAGCTCGTACGCCAGCCTGGAATCGTACGAGCTGCAGGTAACTGGCGCACCCGAACTTGCAAAACAACGCAGACAGGCGATCAAAGATCTGAGAAAGAGAATAGCAGCAGTTATGGTCGACGCTGCAGAAACTGGCGAAAGCATTCCCAAAGTGCACTGATGCTTCGACAATTGCAAAACAAGGATGATTGCTTTCCGACACCCGGATAGAACAGTTACAACATCGAGAAAGGGAATGGAGAAAATCATTCACGAATACTACTCATACCTCTTCGACAGCCACGTCCATCTTCCGTCATATGAAATAAACGGCGGTGGATATGTCCTACCACCGGTTCTTCGTTCCGAAATCCGACATGCTGTTTCGTCGGTGAAATATCGAACAGCGCCAGGTCCGGAGAGGATAAGACCAGAACACCTGAAGAACGTTTCCCCAGTCTTCGTGAACACACTGACTCGGCTGTTCGCACGTTACCCGCCTGAATACTAGGTTCCTACTTAGTGGAAGACCAGGAGGATCGTGCTGTTGTTCAAGAAGTGTGACGTCCGCGATATCGGCAGCTGTCACCCAATCTGCTTGCTGTCTGTCGTCTATAAACTTTCCGCTCAGGTCATCCTAAACAGGATTGGCAGAACACCGGACGAAGGACGGCCATGTGAGTAAACAAGCTTTCGAAATCGACCCACTGCGATGTACTACGTGCACACGATAAAAAGACTCGTTGAATTATCGCGAAGGGGACAAGAGACTGCTCTGTCGCACTTTGGTCGATTTAAGAAAAGTTTTTGGCTCCGACTCGTCTGAGATAGAAGCAGTTCTAGAAGCGCTGAAGGGTCGTGAAATCCTTATTCAGTATATAAAGATCTTTTATGGGCTGTATAAACATTTCACAACCAAGATATCACCATTCTACAGCGATGCTAACGTCAAAGTCAAAAGGGGGTTGAGTAAAGTGTTACAATCTCGCCAAAATTATTTACTGTATTCCTCAAGAACATCATGCGAAGCAACATGGGAGTGAAAATCGATGGTCGGCAGTTACACTATCTTCGCTTTGTTGGTGATATCGTTCTTATAACACCGAACATGAGCCAAGAGGAGCGAGTGCTTGTGGACTTTGACAAAGTCTGTGGAAAAATTCTTCTTCGACTAAATCTCACAAAAACGATGTTCATGAGGAGTGGATTGGTTAAGTATTCCCCATTCACGCTCAACGGGATGAAGATCTCCCATTACTCCAGTTACGTCTATCTATTTCGGGAAATCAATATGAAGAATTATTTAGTTCCAGAGTTGAGCAGAAGGGAATGAGCATCTTGGGGAGATTTCAAGAGCATCAAGGATGTAGTGAAGAGAATCGACTGCAAGATTCTTCTTGCCTTAATAAATGCGTCAGAAACCTGGTCACTGCGTAAGCAGGTTGAAGGATCATTCAACGTTGAACGCGCAGTTGAAGAAACGATGCTAGGAATATCCTGTGCCACGCAAGTAAGGGAAGGGATCCGAAGCTCCGAGCTGCATCAGTCAACGATCCCGTTCTGTACATCAAACAGTCGAAGACAGAGTAGGCCGGTTACGTAAGGCGTATGAACGATGACCGATGGACAAGAGCCGTTATTTACTGGATTCCTCGGGTGTCAACCGTACTGCAGGAAGACTACCGACCCCATGGTCAGAGCTCTTCACGAGAAGCCTCGAAAGGTATGATGCTCAATGAGTCCCTAGAACTAAGAGAACTCACTGGGCTACTCTTGCATGCGACAGGGAAAAATGGAAGATTTACTTGCGCCCGATGATAAACGGGGCTACAGTTGGTACAGATGAATGGTTTTTATTACAATTTTTGAGTAACTTTGTTTTCGTGAATGTTTCAAGGTGTGTGTTGAATAAGTTGTACAAGCTTACCTATTATAAGTTCAGGAATAATCGTGATGTGTTGATTCTTGAGCACTGCTGTAGCGTTGAGCTCCATAATCTTTGTGTTATTTAACTTAGATCTCTTGAAACAAATGTGCATAAATATGCCATAAATATGTCTTTTAAAATAGACAGCAGAGGATGAAGAAATGTTCGACATTTGAAATCGAAGGCTCGTACTTTTGAGCGTAAAGCTGTATCAGGAGTCGTCTTCCTGAAAAACCTAGTCAGAAGTTTACAAACTTCTCAGCAATGAACGAGAGTGGATACTCGTTTGTGATAGCGGCATGGGAAATCCTGAGCACAGTGGCTAAGCGCAGTAGTCTTGGGAGGCGTGAGATAAATGTTTCGTTTAGGAATCCTCGAGTTGACCATGCCTGCGCACTGGGCACTATCGTAATCGTTAGATATACGAAAATCGGCGACAAGCAATGAGTACGCGAATCTTGGCATGACCGTCAATTATAAGCTTGCTAAAAACAGCTCATCAACGATGCAATGAACACTGTTTCTTGACTTGCGTTGGCGGTATCAGAACAATATTTTGAGCGGAGTTTCACTCTCCATAGAAGCTAAAGACCTTAGAAGACATTGGAAATTGGCAGGTGTTTACCTATACTTATCCTTTCACGTCGTCTTCTTTCACTTCATCTACTGTCTTCGTTTTTCGATCTTTTTTCGGAATATACATGATTGGTCATGATATTCGCCTAATAATGCGATCATCACGGGTAAACTGTATCGTCGTAAAAAAATTACGATCCCATCTTGATATCTACGTTGACATTTTTTAGCACTCCATCCGACTATTGCTTTATCTGTGCCGAAAGCATCAATGGGTAAGCTGGAAAAACTCTTCTCATTGATAGAGCAGGAATGCACAAATTGAGATCGGCAGGAGATACTCCAGCTGCTTACTATAGACTGCTAGTTAAGTTCTTCTGAAACTGAATTCAACTCGATGCGATAACGAAGACGTTGGAGCAATGAGTGGATTTGGATAGTCGACTCAGATCAATATGGTTGTGAAGAATACGAAGTCGTTGAGACACTAGCCGAATAAAGTTTGATAACAACCTCATGTTAGTTTATAAGTGAAAAAGTAAACATTTATTATTCTGAAACTGTGCCGAATATGTCTTAGTTCTTCACTCAAAGGTGAAGGTAGTATCTACGACATCACAAGGGAGTTGTTCTAGAGTAGTGGATAACTAAAGCTTATACCAATTACAACACAGTTCGCACGAAATGTATTAAGCGGTGACTGGAAATCGCAGAAAAAAAAACTGGTCTGAAGAGTTGTCGTTGAAACCATAATGGTAAAACGTTATACTCTCTCAACTGCCTTACGGAGAAGTGATTCTTATCACCTTGCTAGATATTCTGTGGAATTAACGCTTTGTATTTGAATGTTTCGCCTCGAGGAACCATGGAAGTCTCAGTACGCTGTTTTCGTGGGAAAATTCGCCACCTTTCTACCAGCTTTCTTCCACAACCAAGTGAGAAGACCTGGGATTGTGTTGTTCTTTCCTATGCTCTTGCTCAGAAATCTAGAACCGTTCGGTTAGTGTCATTCCGTTAGTATATCTATCTTTACATCGAGATTTGAAGGCATTCGAATTTTTTCAAAGTGAAGCATATATAGGCTAGTAAAGTAAAGAAAGGAGTCATGGAACAGAGGAGCAGTAGAGTGAGCCTAGATAGATGTAGACATCTAACAGAAGAACCCATAACATAGGCGAATACTTCATCACGTTTTATGTTTATTTGGAAGCGGTTCATAAAACTAAACAGGATTAATGGAAGTGTACTGCGGCGAATATATATTGTCAAGATGAGTTATTGAATGGAAATCGCAACCTTATATGTTTCAGTTTCGTCTATTCAATGCCACAGTGACCAGATGTAGTGTCCTAATACCAAGTAAGAGTTTTACCGTGTTATCAGTGTTACTTTACATTTATTATAGATATCTATAAACGCATCTCGTGCTCTATTCGTCTATCCGCTGAGTTTCCTACTAAACATTCGTCGACGCCCTTGTATTCCTATATCATACCAGCATATGCTTGTTTTTGCCGGTCTCCGTGGTGCCATGGCATTTGCTCTGGCGGATAGAAACACAGCTACAGATAACAGACAGGTTACTTATAAATCAAAAGTACAAAGAGTATATAAGAGCACAAAAAGTGACCTTTTTAGAGGTACGGAAAGTTCTGGATCCTTTTTTCTTGGGTTCAATTTTTAATTCATATATACTTACTTGATACTTGAACGGCCCATCCTCACTAATTGTGCGGGCCCCAGCACAATCACCATTTTTCGGAGGTTTGCTGGTTAAGCCATTGTGGTTCCCTGGAATCCCGAGGACAACCTGGCCAAAGTTAGCCCTAGGTCGTCACCGCCACAGGCAGTCACAGCCATTGTATAACAGAGGGAGATTTGCCACCATTCGACTTTGATACCAAGACGGTGGATACCGACCCTGGTATTGGTTTACTCTTAGCTAGGTTGCCTGATGGAAACGCCGGACTCCTCAGCTTAGGAGACCCTGCCACGAGGACTAATCTCCGCGCTGTACCTCGCAACCGACACCCAGGAACACTACCCAGCCACGATGAGGCGGTAAACCGTTGGGAGGTTTAATTCATATGTAACCATGGAAATGGCATTCTTGGATTAACACAAAAACAACTTTCATGTCGGGAGTGTTTTCAAGATGACTGGACTATTTTTCACTTGGTGGTACTGTTTTGTAATCTAGAAGTACGGATTTTTTATTGTGGTTCATATATTTGTTTCTCGGGTGTTATTTTCATGCAGTTCCGAACAGTTTTTGACCATTGTACTGTTTTTTATCCACAAATTCGGAAAAGGTGGTTTAGATACATTTCTTTAAAAAAGGTCTCGACAACATATATCGTCCTCATAGTTCCAACAAGTTATATATGTATAGGTAATAAATCGGTTTAATTGAATAATTTCTCAGGGAATTGTCGCTTCATTTCTCTTGCACTTGAGATTTCTTCGAAATAGAGAATTTCAACTTAGTGTTATATTTCTTGGAGCAGTGGTTGGAGGCGCCACTACGACACACACGTGGAATCCATACCTGTGCCCATGGCTCACCAAGCCTTTCATCTCTCCGGAGCTGGCGAATTAGTACCAGACTTGTCTGGGAGGATGGCAGCACTGACGCGTTACATTGGTAGGCCACCGCGAGTCATTGGAAAGGCCAGATATGCATTCAGTCACCTCCAGCGATACTTAATGAAATCGAATGCATCCCTCAGGATTGATCAACGCCGAAAGCTTTGTCCTTTATCCTTTATTTCTTAATATATTGCTGAATACTCCTTTATCCAAACACTTAGTTTGCAGATAATATGTTCGACTACCGCCGCTATAGTGATGGTTACTGTCTTTTTCAATGGTAGCATGACGGCATGGATGATCGATTATCTGGGGATCAAGTAATTCGCTTTTTTTTGTATCATTGCTTAGAATTTTGTAAAATCGTTTTTAGGCATGGTCGCATGAATAACCAAACTAGCGGAGGAGCAGAAAATTTGCCTCAGGTTATATCGGCGTTGAAACTTTAAACAAGTTTTTAAAATGGTCATTGTGTTCTAGAATGAAGTAGACAATCCCAATGTCGCTGTAACTCCTCTAACTCCTTCTGGATCTAATCCATGGGATAAAGCATTTTTACCAAGAAAATGGTACAACTTCGATGCAAAGTAAGTTATAACGCATGTCATATTTAATTACACGAAATATAAGAACTGAGATTAGATAGACATTTAGCGAAAAGGAGTTACTAGACGCACAGTATTTCTTCCATGCGTCATTGGATGGAATATAAGGGATTAATAGTAAACCGTGGAAGTTTTTTTTTAATACATATGAACACGGCTATTATTCATCTACTAAGCTGTAACATACGGTTGGATACTTGAGTAAGTTATGCTGCAGCGGAAGTGACATGGATTAGGAGGCCTAAACTTACCTCAGGAGATTGATGACTCACATCCGAGCGATAATAGTGAGGGTACAATACAATTATTACAACAAGAGAATGGCTGTAGTGGTAGCGGTTCTTCAGCGCAGAGAACGTCGTTGTTTCAAAGAGAGTGTGAGCAACATCTCTAACATAATTAACGGTTTGTTATCTCGCAAATCTATGATCTACGGTGTGTTATTCTGACACTACAAATCATCTATACCTTGGTTTTCAAACAGTAGTTATAAAATCTAATCATGTGCTCAAACCTAGTAACAGTTCAAGCATTTAATACTACTTCACCTATTCTCTGCGCTCCAGAAGTTCCTCATTCGCAAATTTCTCAACAGAATTAGTGGTAGGTAGGTAGGACGTTCACATGATTATGTCGAGTTAACGTGTGAGCTCAATCCTGCTATGAATAATGTGAGTCCAAGTTTTATTGTAATATATAGGAGAATTCGCCAAAACTGTGTTTCTAACTGACAGCGTTTTCCACATTCGAGAAGACTAAGCGAAATCACCGGAGATTTTCGGCGCCTCGGTGGAAATGTTATGCGCAAGGTTAAGTGGAAAATGTAGAAATAAGGATTGTTTGGCAACAGTATCTTCGTGATTGTTTAATTTAGTCATTGCTTTCGTGGCTATGCAGTTCTGGTCACTTTAAACATGGGTTAGACCGTGTGAATGTTGAGTGAATTTCAGCACACGCGTAAAGTCTTGGGATCGGCAGAAATTCTAGATAGAAGTGTGTTTTTGGAAGATACGAGGAACGTATGTGTACCCCGTGCCGAATTTACACTACTTGAATTTAGTATCATAGGATAATGAAGTCACTTTTTATTTACTGTCCATTCTGTTTTCATAGCAGTGTCTGATATAAAACATAACCACATGCTGAGATATTTGCAAAACTCGGGACCGCAGGTGTGTCGGTGAGGAATGAATGCGCTATTACCCTTTCCGGTGATTAACGCGTACAAGACCACACCATGCAGCTCCTTCGTTTCGCCTTTCTTTTAGTCGTGTTTCTGTGGACATCATTGTGGCTACATTTTACATCATACTCTGCCATGAATGGACAATAAGTAAAAAGTAGTTACTTTGTGATTTATACTACATCTTCAGCTCACCTGGGTTCATTGCCAGTTTATGCTCTCCAGATCAATCCCATTGACAGGTGATTACTGTTGGCACTGGTCGTTAGAAAAGTAGGTGAGAGATAGACGAAACGAAGGAACCGCATAGTGTGGCGATGAACGCGTTAGCCCCGGCAATGGTACTAGCGTGTTCGATCTCCACTGGAGACAACTGCGGTTCGGTGTCTTGCAAATATCTCAGCATCACTGTGGTTTTATATTATAGGATGACGAGATAGGGTCAGGCGAAACGATGGGCCCGCATGGTGTGGTAGTGAAAGCGTTAGCCCTCGGAAGGGGTAATAGCGCGTTCGTTCCCCACCGCAGACACCTGCGCTCCGAAGTTTTGCAAATATCTGAGCACCATTATCATAGGATAGTTTGGAGAGTCGATATGACTAGTTAGCAATCTCTTAATTATGTAGAGATAGAAGAGCAGTTTTGCTCATTTCTGCAACTGGAAGTGTATAGCTGGCTATAGTACATCCTTGGGTAAGCCACATTAGTGAACATGAGTGCGCTGGAGATAGCGCGTCTAGCGCAGCGGTTAGAGGTTTTCTGCAGCACACACGTAGTCATTGATTCAACCATGCATGCACTGTGGGTTCACCAAACCTATATATCCGTGGTCGAGAGGACTGAATTGATATATCGCTAAGGCAACAAGAAGTCATTGTATAGGCCAGATATGCACTCAGTCACCTCTAGCGGTGCTTAGTGAAGTTGAGTGCGTGGCATATTCCTCAGCGATTGGCCAAAGTCGAGAGCTTTATCCTTTTTATTCGCTAGTTAAGTGGATGCGTTGTGCTTCTAAATATATTCACCATCATACTGAGTTCTTTGTAACTAGAGTTTTTGAGAACATTCGTTCAACAGAATTATAGGAAGAACTTTACTATCGCTCCAAGAGTAAACTTTTTTCAACCAAACCCGGTATTACATTGTGTAAGTGCCACTGCTATCTCCATTAGATTTGCTTCCGTGCATTCTTCATTCACGCAAATCTTCGGATTTTGAGTAGGGCGTTGCGGCGTTGAGTCACAACTTTATATGAATAGCAATTAATTGGGATTATTAGTCCTTGTAACTGCCACGCAGGTCTTTTGCGTGTTAGTCGCTGAGTCAAACGCCTTGAGACACTGGTTTCTACTAGCACAATTTGATAGAGCTATATGTGAAAGGGTGCAACTGTTCGTTCGGATACTTCTTTGGGACGGCAGATGCTGGAAAGTACATTCAGCTAACTGCTGCTGATTCAGTGCCCGAAGTGTCGGACAAAGAAGAGCAGTTTATTGAAAGAAGTTACAAAATCTCTTTCCAATCACCTTTGAGGTAACTGCATGAAATGGTCGTTAAGAGACAATTTAGAGAAGAAGCGAAGATAGATTTAGGGTGGTTACAGGTGAACAGGGGACATACACTAACATAGAAAATACGAACTATTTGAAGAATAGTTCCTGTGTATGGGTTCGGCTTTTGCTTAGGGTTCTGGTCTTATTTGTGGATGTCATTAGATGGTTGTCAAGTATATCCTCCTTCTTGTAACCGTGCTAGAGCGTTCACAGGTCTCCGCTGCGGATAGTCACCAATGTTTCGTGATCAGGTCTGAGTTCCTCAGATAGATCAAGCATTAAGTTTCAGATCCTAAGGGATGAAGACCTTTGTTTTACGATGGTTAGGATTGAACCAACGACGTTGCGCGTGTCGCAAGGCACCTCTTACTGCATCGCTGCATGTTTTCTTACGAGGTGTATAGGAATGACAAACTTCTTCTTGGTGGATGTAACCAGTTTTTTTTGCCAATAGAAAAATTCAACTTAGATCGTGTTTAACTTTAGTTCATCCTGTTTTCGTCGTTATTTTTGTCTCTTTTCTTTCTTTAAGATGTTGTGTATGATTTATTGAAAGTCTAGGGACAATACAGTTTTAAAAAGCTTTGAGAAATGATAGGTTTGTTTAAAGTTTCTTGAAGGGCTTTATGGGAACGCAATCTTTTCCTATCCGCTTAAATAGTCTTATCAAAATATTATTTACATTTATATATGTATTTCAGCTTTATGAAACCACTACTTACCCATTCTACTCCTTCACTGGAGCAAACTCTTCCACCACTTTGTCTTCCTTTTGCGCGGATGTTCACTTCAGCTCGACAGTCAACGGCTACCAACAAGGTCTCAAATGATTCGAGCCCATGCAATTCTATAAATGTAGAAGACGGTTAGTCAAGACTTTCTACGCATTTTGTCAGTAGTTTCTACGTTTTCATTTCCTACATGTTCGCAATGTACTACATGTTCTTCTGCACTTTCTGGAAGATTTCCATCTTTCGTGTTTGACGAAAAAAGAAAACTTCCATTGTTCAGCCAATGTTGCTAGCTTTTGGTAACCACTTTGGTAACAGATATGGAGTCTATTCCGTGCTTTTAAAATATTTTTACATTATCCCACTACATAGGGCGTGTGGCGCTGTGGTCGGAGGCGCTTTGCGACGCACACGTGGGCTCGATCCCCGCACCCATGACCCACCAAGCCTTCCATCCCTGCTGGGTCGGTAAATTGGTACCAGACTTGTCTGGTAGGATGGCAGCATTGGCTCGATACATCGGTCGTCCACCGTGAGTCATTATAAAGGCCAAATAGATATGCATTAAATCGCCTCCAACTATGGGTAATGAAGTCGGATGCATGGCGCATCCCTCAGGGATTGATCAACGCTGAGAGCTTTATCTTTTTATCCTTTATTATCCCATTACATACGACGACTGTGACCCATCATTGAATTGAGAGAATGAGTAATTAATTATTGATCAGAACTTAAATTTCTTAGGTTTAAATTGTGTTGGAGGAATACGAATTAAAATGTATTTTCTAAAAGAACAGTATGCTGTGGTCTCTATAGAAATCTGGGATTGGTGGTAATGACTTCAGCGAAAAGTGGGTGGATATTGTGGTGCCTCATATCCATTCAATTAAAGTTATTCGAAAGTGGATCATCTCTTTGTTGGGTGCACAAAGCACTATTATGAAAGGGATGGAAAGATGCATTCAGAGATCAACGGATTTTGAGTACGAATTACGACTAGTTGAATATCGTGATTGAGGCGTTATTTTAATTGTGGCGTGGTCTATGGGAAAGTTCTTTTTGGACCCAAAATTATGACAGGAAAGCTGTTTGAGAAACTGCTGACTCACATCTTTTTTTGACTGACAGTGCAATGTATAGTAAAGACAGGTTGATAAGTTGTCTTAGCAAACCTGTCAACGGAAACTCTATGAGGATATGCAGGCTGTGCAAAAACGTGTGTGTTCATGAATTTGCTGTGCGCTTAGATGAAGTGACACATTACGTTGTCATGTGTTGAATGAAAGGTACAGTTATGGCACAGAATTACTCAAGTTGTTCACAAAATGCGGCTGAACATCTAACGTTATATTACATGCTACGCAGGGCCTCAAAAGATTTCTGGTGAATCGCTGGTGGTTGGGGCTAGGTTTTAAAATAAGTGTTTTTACTCATGGGTTTTAAAAGCTCAGTAAAACTATAAGAGTCGATGATGGTTTTTCTGAAGACAAATTCTGTGGAAGCACATTGGTGGGCGCATGTGAACAACGAGCCACTCTGAAAAATACGTGCGGTAGAATCACACCTATACAACTCTTCTTGGTCATCAACCTAGCAGCTTATTCCAGCAAAAATATGTCCGTAAGTGTCAAACCGCACTACTAAAGTACAGCAGAGACATCTGTGCACCTTTTTAACTGCCAAGTTTATGTGGTAAGTAATCCGTTTTCACCAACAATATTTTCTCGCTTTGGCCAAACAAGTGGTGCGATTGACAGCTTTTTTTTTGTAAATTATCAATGTATAATGTAAGTTCTCTCGTCGTTGGATACAACATCGAAATATGACTATTTATTGTATGCAGAAAGTTTTTTCGAAAGCTCTGCGGCGAAATGAGCTACTGGGAGTGAAGTGCTCGTGACCATTGCAGCTCAGCCGCAATGCCCACGCTCCCATGCATTGAAATAAATGGTACCATATTTATTCTGTTAGTAGAAAAGGCATGACAGGAGGTACTAAGTGCTAAAAGTAGCAGGCTTAGGAGAAAGTGATGTAAACAAATATTAAAACTACTTTTAATTTTGTTTTCCAGGATAATCTGGCGTTACTTTCTCATGTATTCTACTGTTAAGTCGGGAAACCCCGGTTAAGTACCATTTCGACTAAGAGAGATGTTACCAATGCTTGATCGATGCTTTCCGTGTTTTTCTGTTCCTAGAAGTGTTTTGCTGTTGTTTTCACTCGATGTAAATATTGCTAGTTATTTGGTTAAAAATTTTTTCCTTTGCAAAATAAGCAGTGCTATGGCTATGTTTTTCTTAGTGGTTACAAATCTTTTATTTGGCAGTTTTTTTCAAAAAATCCTTAATTATTCGTTTCTCTTCTCTCTTGAAGTAGTTTACGGCATGTATTTCTTCATTAATATTACTTCATTTTATTTCGGCTTTATGTACACTGACGACTTTAGTTCCTTAGGCTTTGCTGTTTCTCGGTGAATACATAGCTCGATTGCAAATCTGTGTTTTCGGCAGGTGTTACGAAGGATATGGAACATTCTATGCCACCCTAAAATATTCATATTGTAGTGAAGGAACCGCTTAATTTCAATCGATTTTATTGCCGTTTTTACTCTTTCATCACTGAGTTAGTGGAATCCAATTGATCTGACTTATATAGCAAACGATGAGGATAGCTGGAATTAAATTGCGCTGTATTTCAAGATTCTAGAATAGAATTCGAGGATCTCGCATGAATCGACGAGATGGGCGGTGGCTGTTGACAAAGTCAACCCCCTAACCGATGTTTTGTGACGGTATCTTTTCTTCATGGGTGATTGTTTAGTTGACGTAAATCGGTCTTCGTGCTTTCTCATTCTTGCTAGGCGATCACGGATTTTGATGCGATCGGTAGCTTGGAGAGGAGCATAGAGACCGGGATTTGAGTATAGCGTCCTGGTGTTGCAGATGGAGAGAGCAAAAAACGGTCTCCATGGCATATTTTGAAGGTTTTCGCTCCGGTTCCGACGAGGTTCTTGGCAACTCGAGATTAATGCCGTCTCGTCTATTGCTTCATGGGCTATTTGGTCTTAGCTGAAGTCCGGAGTTACCCTTTTAGTGTGCTTTTAGGCTTACACCACGATGTGGATCTGAGGAATTTTTTGTTTCCCCAGTGATTCCTTCGATCAGTCGTCCTGTTGTTCATTCAGATACGACGTTTCTACCGAATTCAAATCTGCCGCATTAAATTAGATGCAGGGATAGGGTGAGATGGCCGATGCCGACGATAGTGTATCTCCGGCGGGTTGACGTTTCCATAGAACAGTATCTAAAATGTTACGGATAAGATTTACGCTCCTGATTAAAAAATTGCTCGCTAATAGTTTTAGAAGGTTTGGTGGTTACTCACGTTCGCAACGCAATTAAAGTGTTACATAATCTCTTGTGCATATACAAGGGTGCTTTTTTTTTGAAAATTACTCGGCTTTGCAAACTATCGTACGGTAAATCCAGCTAATATAATCGACCAAGGAAGTCAACAGCGGTGTGGGAACCTTGTGAGTAAGAAGTGACCACATAGGTTTCTTTTCCGTCTGAAAGGAAAGAAAGCGATTTCAGATGATGATTCAACGGTTTTCTTTTCGATCCCATGGACGGTCCTAATTTCTAGGGCGATTAGGGAAGACGCAGACACACTAAGGATGTTCGTGACATTTTAGACGAATAGTGACTACTATCCCGAATATATATTGTCCAGATTGCCGTGAATCACCCATGCCAATTACGTTGAATATTAACTGCATTAGGCTTTATTTCATAAGCTCAACAATCTTGCAGCTTCAATTTCCTTCTACGCCTTCCCATTCTAATCAAATAAACTGTTCTTGCAAGCTTTTCAATATTGATCCAATGAATTTTCTTTATGACTATTGCAATGCCGATCCGATGAGCACCTCTGCAATTTAAGCGGCCTTTGTCGCTAACCTCTTTGCGCGGGTGGCCCTTTGGTGTACCTTCTTCATGCGTCTATCTAATGCGACTGTCGGTGCATACTTTCTAGGGAACTCGGAAGCTACGTCAAACACCGCCTATTCAAGAATACAGTAAAGCTGGCTTATGAGTCATTATTCTATTCGTTTGGTTAGCGTAGTTGTCTGTTTTGAAGAATGTGGCAAAAAGTCGGTGTGCGTCAGTTCGTACGTGAGAGTGCGATGGGAAGAGCGTATGTATGGTGAAGAACACCAGGAGGAGCCGCAGTCAGCAGCACACCGCCACACTGACGCCGTCCAAGGCGACAAGGATGCGCTTTAGTTCTCTCGTCATTGCTTGTACAATAATACTAGTACTTAACTCAAAATGCTGTTTAGTAATTTATTCCACGCAAATTCTTTAGGCCATCACTTTTCAGAGCACACATTGCATGGCGCACACGCTTTGTTGTGAAAGGTGCATTTCGTCGTATCTAATAAGGAAATATTTTTCACCGTCGTGGTGTTGACTTGAAAATGCCCTAAAAGGCTAAGTCAAGGTTACAAGGAAGACTAAACTGCCCAAGTAAAAATGTACCACATTCCGGACACTGGGTGCTCCCTTTTATGACAGGAGATGAGGCGACCGACAAAAGGTGACTAAATCTTTTGGCTACGCAAGATGACGTCAACGTAACAGGAAACGTATCGAATTTCTTGTAATGAGTGAAGCTTGGACAGTGGGAACTAGAGACAGCGCTTAAAGAGAGGTTCTAAAAGTTTCTCAGCTAGCACAATCTGATAGAGCTATATCCACAAAAGTTCGTGAAGTTTATGTAATAGCTTATGCAAAAAGTACATGTGAAAGTCCTCAGCTGCTAGTTCATCGGAAGAGCAGATGCTGGAATGAACATGACGCTGATAGCCGCTCATTCAGTTCCCGAACCGTCGAGCAAAAAGAGCGGTCTATGCAAATGAGTTACAAATAGATTTAAGGTAATTGCAAGTAGACAGAAAACATTCGCTAACATAGAAAGGAGGAATTATTTGGGAGTAGGTCCTTTATCGTATGCGTCATACAATGTTTGTTCTGAAAAGTGCAGGCCAAAAAAATTTACGTCGAACAAATTGTTAAGGAGTAATTTTAACTAAGTAATAGTATTGCTGGGGGTGTTGTGATGAGCGAACTCGTGTGC